TAAATCCATGTTATTTCCGCATATTTCACACCACTCACACTTCCTTTGGCTCACAATTTGCACTTCATGAATACCAGATAGGGAGCCAAAGCCGGAGGAGACCGAGGGGCTACAGCTGCTGCTCCATTAGACAATTTTCACATCTGTGTCCTCAGAAGAAGACTGCAGAGTCCCCAGAATGCTTGTTGTTCTTACTCGGATGCTTCGAGTCAATAGTGAGTGCAAGACCGTCCTCCTTTGAAGCAAATTATTCGATTGATGCTACAAATAAACTTCCGTTTCTCCATTGACCCTTTAATGTTCCACTCTGATCAATGAAATTCCCTCAACATGTGGTAATTTTTAAATATTTATCGAGAGTTAATTCCATAAACTGGCAACTAAATTATGATTCGATTTGGAGGCCGAAATACCAAAATGGTTGCATGCAAAATTCGGTGAATGTATCGTTTGGTTTTCCACATTGTTTGTACTCCATTCCACTTGCCTCGGCACTTGATATTCCTGGCTAAACAGCCTCCACCACATCATTATGTACTGCTCCCCTTGGGGCGCCACTTCATTAACAGATTTTCCAGCGCCAGGACCGAGACCGGAACCCGCAGAAAAACCAATCGGATGCCGTCAGCTAGGCAAGTTCTGTTGTCCAAAAATATTGAACCAATAATGCAATTTCGCCCGTGGTCGGCAAACTCCTGCCCAGCTGGCGTTACAATGTTGAAAACTGAATTGGTAAACACCCGCCGGCAAACAGGGCACTCCTGGAGGGCCTATTAAATGGAATTTCGAACAGGACTGACGATTAACTAACTGACTGTCTGCCACTGTCTATGGCGGGAGCCCCTCCATCTGATGTCATTTGTTCAATAATCGCATAATTATGCGCAATAATTGCATTAGCAAATATGGGCATGGAATTAGAGGGCAGAGAGTAATTGCAAATGCCGTCATTACATTGTAATCGTTGTTGGGGCATTGAGAGGACGGGCTCCTCTGTCTTGAGACATTTAATTAAAGGCGTTAAGTTGGCTAATGAATGCGGCAATCGGAAAGAGCCATCCTCGACATCCTCGGAGGCTTGATCCTGCGGGGTACTGAAGCACGTTTCAGCCTCAGTGAGTCGTCAGACAGGCTACAGGCTGCACATGCAGGATAAGTGAATGGCATTAAATAAACAAACTGGCGGGCAACACAGCAACTGCCAAACAAAGGCAGACTGAGTGGAATAGAAGGCAGCAGCATTCTGATGCACTGCGCTGGAAAAAAATCCAGTAACTAAAAGGGGTGAAGTTAAGGCGAAGAAATAATACTCTACTTTATACTTTTGATAGAATGAATCTCTGGAAAAATCAAAGTCATAAAAAATGCAATTTGTTCTACCAAATATTTTCTGTTGACTGGAATATCTCAGCCATTTGATAAGCGTCACGTACTGAGCGCCCGAAACTGGGCTACAACCTTTTTCGCAGGATTTCTGGTGGAATCCTGAGAGCTGAGAGCTCGGGAAACCGATTGCCGAGTACTTTATTATCTATACAGTGGGAGTGGGGTTGTGTTTCACTAGTGCAGTGCACTAGGGGTTAGTGCATTTGTTTGCCACTTACACACACAAAGGAATAACAAAATGGCGAATCCACGTGGCTGGTACATACCTGCAAGAAAATGGAAGGATACGGAAAGGCATTAGTATGAAATCTTTGCAGAACACACCTGAAACTCCCATTCCCTGCTACCAGCGATTGCATTAGAATTTAAGATAAGTTCGAGGCAGTGAGGAGAGGGTGTGAGTAATGGCAATGGGATTGGGGTAGTAGTGGCAACTCAGATTGGGATACTCGGCTTACAGGCTCCTCTTGAAGCTCCAGTTCCTGCCCTGGCTCCTGTTTATTGTGTGCTCGAGGACGAGTATGTGCGGAGGGGCAACTTGTTTACCAAACTTTATTAAAACTTGGCAAACAGTTGTCGCCTTTGTAGTTGGCTCGAGTTGAGTTCTGTTGCTTTGTCTGCTAACTGATTGCAGTTACAATCAGTTTATTGTACGGGCCTGCTGCAGGATAGATTCCCTTGGACACACATCCGCGTACAAGCAGCTACCTTGTTGTAACACGAAGCCTGGCAAACAGTACAGGCACAAAGTGGAAAAAGGAGTTTTCAGATGGCAACATGCGGACCAAGAAGTTGCCAAAGTCGGTACTTCAGCAAGGATAATTTGTGAATGGTATAACTTCAAGGAGCAAACTTTTGAAGCATTAGAAATACATACTTTGGCAATATAAGTTCCAGTTTTTGTACTCCAACAACTAATATTATTTTCTTTAACAGAAATCATTCATAATTCATAAAACTTAATAGGCAGAAAATTTTTAGAATTTTAATTTAAAGGGAGTTCCAATTTTCTCCTCATTTTGTCAGCCACAAGATTACTGAACCCTACATAAAAAATCAATAGAACCATACCGACAAAAAAAAGGCAAAATGTCATAAGTGATTTCCTGTTTCCGTTTCAGGTTCCAATCAAGCGTGAAATAATTTTTGGAAAAATATTTACACAGTTTGGGAAAATAAGGAAGAAAATATGAAAAGATGAAAAATGAAAAATGAATGGGAAAATGTGAAAAGCTAATGGGGTCGGCTGGTTGGTTGGTTGGTTGGGTTGTCACCAGTGACAACTGGCCAGGCCCCGGGTTTTCCGGGCTGATCCACTCAACCAAGTGGGTCTCCAAAGTGTCCCCAACTCATCACATTTAGCAGCGTTGCGCTTGATTGCGTCCTCGCCTTGCGTCTCGGCCTTATGGAACGGTGTACATCAGTGTCAGATTAGGGCGTGGCTGGGTCGAAATCACAGACACTACACTACATAGCACCCACCATAGAGTACAGGCACACATTCAAAGCCCCTAAGAAGTCGCATAAATTCCAGACACCGCCGCCCTGGTGATTTGTGGCGCAGAGACCACATCAAACATGGGAGATTTCCGAGGAGCCGAAATGGGAGGGCGGTGGAGTTCCTCAGACAGAGACTAAGTGTGGGTTAAGCACACTTGAAGTATGTGCACGCTTGGGTTAAGAAAAAGGATTTGCCAGCTCCAAGGAGCTCCTGCTTCTGCCATCCTCCCAGCCACATCTTCCAGCTGCTGTGACAGAAAAGGCTGAAAAGAAAAACCACCCAGCCTTGACGTTCGGGGGAAAAATATGAAAAATCGTTGTGGGATCTCCTGCCAAGGTGAGGATTGTGGTTACACTGCGGTCCTGTGGTCCTTGCGACTTATGGATTGTGTATATATGTATGTACACACTATATGTGTGTATCCTTGGGAGGGCGTTGGAGTGGGGCAACCACGTGTAATGCAATTATATTGAGGCAGATTTTCCGTCACAACTTTTTCACTTTTCCTTCGCATATTTTTCACTTTATGGAATTGATGTTTGATGGCTTAATGGATAAGGACATCCTTGAGGATAAGGGAAAGCCATCAAACTATTGGAACGTGCATGGCTTTCTCTCAGTTTAGAAAGTAAAAGCTGAGAATCGTTCTTGCCACCACAAATCCTGGTAAATTACGGCAACAGGCAGTTGGGATAATTACCAAAGTTTATTAACGGAAACAAAGGACCAACTGCAGTCGTCCGTAGATCCAAAGATCTGCCGAATTCGGCGCGTCCATGAATATGAAATGAAGTCCAAACCCCATGGCGGAAACTCAGACAGGGCGATCCTTGGAGGCCGTTGGAAATGGAGGGTCATAAACAACAATTTATAAGCTTTAATGAAAATTGGTTGAGAACTCTGGGGTGGCTAACTCGGGCGGGTTTTTTTAAGAGCGACTTGCAAATAAATTAACTCCACTCCGCGTCGTCTAAGCCGACAAATGTAAATTAAGAGCGTTGTTTACACCTAGGACTGGTCCAAGTTTTTTTGGTCATTAAATTTATGCCTCACCCGGGAATACGCCTTCCGACAGCTTATAAATTTTGCACCTTTTTTGGAGGCCAGAGCTCTGACTAAATGTGTCCTTTCGCTTTCGACAAATGCATATGGAAATTTTATGCAAATTTCCATTGTGTCAGCAATTTGTAACGAATTTGGGATGTGAAATTGTTTGAAAAGCCGCCGCCGGGCAAAACGGCGGTACGACGGGACGACGGCACTGAAAATTTAATTTACCCTGTGCGGTGGCTAAATCCAATTGCATAAACGTCAATTTGCTAATCCAATATTTGCCGACAGAAGTCGAGGAGTATGGCAATAAAAGCGGAGCTCTTGAATTTTCAACTTTCGAGTTAAACACTTTAAGCCCGGCCCTTTGAAAAGTTTGGCTCGCTTCTGCCACTGAAGCTGACAAAATATTTTCAGCAGCACTTCAAAGTGTCTTCTTTGGTGGAAAGCTTGGTGGAATATTCTTCAAAATAAACGTTATTGTGGCACAAGTTGCTGCAACTGATAAAGGAGGCTGCATCCTTGAGAAAAAAAAAGAGAACTGCTTTTGGATGGCACTTGGTCAGCTTCAATTACTCAGATCTGGAGGCGCCTCCTCGGATACCGGCCATCATCATCATCATAATCAACAGTCAACAAAAAGAACGACCTACACGTGACTACACCACAAAACTCTTAGGAATATAAAAGTTTAGACCTCCAGGAACCAATCCCCCTGGCAAATGAGCTGCTGGCTGTATACGTTCTTTTATTCATTTCTTTTTTTTTTATTTTTTTTGGTAGCTGTCTGCACTTAATGGAAAATGTCAGTTCGCCTCCGGCGTCAAACGTTTTATTGAAGTTTCCACTGAGGCGGCGGTGAACACTCAAAACACTTGCCACAGTGCGTCATCTGCTCCTGTGGCCACCTTTCTGACTCCGTCTGGCGTCTTTTTCGCGGCCCAGCCATTAAACCTAACGAACCGGAAGTGCTGAGGTCCTGCCAGAGAGGTCATCGATCTACAAGTCCATCGCTACAAGTCCTGTTTCGTTCGTAAATTTTAATGATGAGCAAAGCAAGCGGAAATTTTCAAATCAAAAGTAGCTTAGCTTTGTCGAGGCAGTTACTATTGCTGCTTGATACCTTTTACTCGGAAGGAAATAAAATTTTAAATATATGAAGCATAACTTCTTTTTACTTTCATAATGAGCCAAATTGAAAAGTCGAGATTGACCCAACCGCGTCTGGTCAAGTCTGTTAAACCCAAAGTGGATGGCCAGGTATTCACCTGCCAGTTTGAGGTTTTCGGCAAAGTTCAGGGTAAGTTGCTCTTAAGACTCTAGGTATTTCTCTAATAAAACCCATTGATTTTTATCAGGTGTCTATTTCCGGAAGGTAAGATATTATATCTATAATCAAAATTAGTCAAATATTAGTAGTAATATTCTATAGCACACTCAAAAAAAGGCCAAAGAACTAGGCCTCACTGGATGGTGCATGAATACTAAAGCTGGAACCGTAAAGGGCATGCTAGAAGGATCTCTGGAAAAAGTCACCGAGATGTAAGTAATAGCTTTTAAAATTATAAAAAAATATCTTTAAAAAATTCTTTTAATTTTTAGGAAATACTGGTTACAGCACAAGGGTAGTCCCCGTTCGGTGATTGAAAAAGCCATTTTCTCCGAAAATGAACCTCTACCTTCCAACAACTTCAATCTGTTCTCAATTCGCCGCTAAAGATTTCACAAAATTCAAGTAAAATGTTTTATATTTTTAAGAGAGAGTATGAAATAAACAAGTTGACATTCTGAATACCAAAACAATTGTTGGCAGATGGACAAAGTTGGCCAAAATATAAGTTTTTTTGGGCAATTCCCTTGGGTTGTGTGTTAGCTGGCCAATTAATTGGACCATGAGCCACCGCAAATTGCCTTTCGAATATTTTTCTATGACAATTTCTAAACTGATGCTGCGCCAATTGTCAAAACAATTTCAATTTATTTTTTCAGTCGTCAAAATGGATGGGGCCAAAGTTTCAGGATCGTCTCTGGCAATTTTGCGACAAATAAACTGGCCATATCCAACCAAAAAAAGGCAAAACAAATTTACATAAATAAATAAAAGTTGACTGAGTTCACCAAATGGTAACAGTTGGCGCCTGATGGCAATTAAAAGCCTCTGCGCCACTTTCAACGCTTTACTTTTTTTTTTGTTATTGTGTTTATTTTTTTCCCCTCGGATAGGGACGGATCGGATGCTCCAAGCTGGCTCTGCTGGATGCCACTGTTATTTATTTGAATTGTTTTGTGTGTCTGGCAAACACTTAATAATAAACTGTTGAAACCGCAAAAAGTGCGCTGGCTAAACAAAATTGTTTCCACTGGCCAAATTGGGGGAAGTCCCGGAAAGAGTGGTTATGTAAATGGAAATACCTTTGGGTTGCCTTTTAATTAGTAAAGTCTGCGGAACGTATATTAAAATAAATAAAATGCCAAATATTCTATTTATTTTTTAAAAAACAAGAGGATCGAACGAGAAACGTAAAACTCTACTGCTTGGAATTATAAGGTCTTATTGCTTTGGAAATCGTCCTTGGTCCTGTTGCCGCAGACTCAGCCTTCGGGCCTGAAGGATCTCCTCAGGGCTCTTGTTGTCGCGGGCCAGTTCACGGCACAGGAGGCGGCGGTAGAGGAGCATCTTGCGCTTGGTCTCCGGCGTACCAGCAGCGGTACTGAACTGTATCGCAGGACGATGGCCTCGGGATGAGGATCTTTACAAAGAAATCGGTTCAAAATATATAAGATGGGAACAAGGGGTAGAGTTCTTTATTAAACTTACGCCTTTTTGTCACTCATTTTGGTTGCAAAGTTATTCGTAGCCGGAGCTAAATAGAGTTTACGTTACACTTTGGAAGGAATTTTGAATAATGAAACTGTTATGTAGGAAACCTTTCAAAAATATCCCGAAGAGTGAGCTTAAAGTCATGGCCATCTAGATAGTATTTTGTGTCCTGCATTTTCCCCTCTGTATCATAGAAACATAGAACTAAATTAAGTCATTAAATGCCACCGAATTTGAAATGCAACACAGGCGGCAAACGGCAACGCGGCACGCAAACAGATAAAGTGGCAGGCAGGAGCTGGCAGCCGGGAAAAGTCGAAAGAGGCGGCGCCTCTGAAAGCCGGATCCAGTAGCGCCGATAATCAATTCCGTTTCCGGCTGACAGTTTGCCGCATCGTGCGTGACCCTAAATATGTATGTTTGTTTGCATAAACAGCACGAGAAAAATAATCATAATTGTAATAAATTCGTGAGCCGCACAACCCGACCGACCAACAGGCAGTAGGAGGTGGGCGTGGCATGTGGTGCATATTCGGGAATCGCGTGCCACTCTGGTCGCATGTCGAAAATCGAAATCGGTTGCAGAACGAGCTCCATTAGCTGAAAGCCCCGCTGATAACGAGTTCATTGACGAGTTCATTGGCACATCGATTCCCGATGAGGGGGCTTGGTGCCACCAAATGCGGTTAGTGTGGCACGCTAATCACAGACTAAGGGAATTTTGGTCTAGTTGCAGGATCTACCAAGAGATCTAGGAATTTTAATAACATTTTGTTTTAAAAAACAAACACGTTTTCTTATATTTTAAAATTGGAACTTGAAGAACAATATCCAATCCAATAGATTATAAATGGTTCTCTTCACGCATCTGATAACTATAGAAATCCTTATCGACTGAAACCCCTTTCCATCCTGCACCTTATTAGCCATGCAGACCATGTTCCTTCGAGCCAGGCTAAGCCGTATAAGGCCAGCTGACTGTGTTCCAAATCTCAGACCACATGAAATCGCTCCAGACAGATACGTGGGGCCCGCAATGCCGCATCACCAGAAGCATCCTCAGCCTCAGTCCCTTCGTTGTCTAGACGCCAAAAACCCATTGCTCTGCCACCGGAAAAAATGGCTCTTGCTGCGCAAGTGTTGCATTATAGACTCCAGAACGAAATGGGGAAGCACGGCCAGCAGTTGCCAGATAGAATAGAATTTAGAAGCAGAAACAGCCGTTGCCACGAAATAGAAACTTATTAAAATTTTACAGCCGCACCTTCTGTTGTTGAAAAATTAAAAATACAAGTCGTTGCGCTGTGTTTGGTCTTTGAGATTCTTTTTATCAGATTTTAGCAATTAAAGCTTTTGTATTTTTTGTTTAAGAATAGCTGAGTATTTAGCAAAAAAAAATGTGAAAAATGTTGTATGGGATCGCATGCCAGCGAATCGTGTTGCGTGGCAATTTGATGAATGCGGCCTTTGATTAACCCTGATCCCGGGTCAAAAGCCGTGCCGGGCCAAAAATCAGTTTTAAGACCTTTGCATGCAGTTGGGAAATTTTCAACGGCAAGCAAACTTTGCATAATAAATGAAGGCGATAAGAATGCTGTCCCGACTCCCGACTCCGACTTTGAGTTTCAGTTTGTTTATGTTTATGTTTCTGGGCCTTTTTATTTTTATGTGAATACCTAGGGCATTTTTAGGGAAACTTTCAGCTTGATGGCAAATGCCTTTCCGAGTCCTGATTTTACCCAAGATCCCAAATGCCTTGGGCTGTGAACAATGTAGGTTTTGGGTTTGAAGATTGTCTCACAGAGTAGGCGCTTTGTTTTAAATCAAGGGTCGAGTTGGCCTTTGAACTTATCTGGCAACTGCCAAATGGTAGTATAGTTAGTTCTCCAAACGATGTGAAACGAAACGGGTCAATTTTTGTTCACCAGACACAAAAAAAAACGTACAAAAAAAAATAAATCAAAATTGTATCCAACAAAATGGATACTCCCAAAATTCTGGTTGAAAACACTAAAACACAAGCAGACAAAATCAAAGTAACAAATGTACATAATAAACTCTGGGACTCTGGCTCATCGGATTCGTCGGGATTGGTTAGTTCCATCAAAAAACTACCTGCTGTGCCGGCCAAGAGTCACATTTCGTCTAAGGAAAGGGAATTCTAGCTCCACCAAGGAGTTGAAACCTATGACGGAGGAGTTCCAGCAAGGAGACCAAGAGGGAAAGGAGAACTTAATCATCAAGATGGTGGAACAGAACCCCAGATCAGAACCAGTGACTTCGTTCGCATCTATACGAGATTCTGAGGAACTCGTATATCCCATCCACACAGCCGAGACACTCTATTCTAAGGATCGCGATCTCAACGAGTCAGCTTCGGAGAAGACTCTCAGCGAGGAGCAGAATATTCTTCCGCAAGATTCTGAAGAAGACCAAATCAAGAACAAGAAGGATTCCGGAGCAGTAAAGGACACACCGAAGAAGCCCATTGTCGGCCCCAAACCTGTCAAGGATTCTACTTTGGAACAAGCCCCGGGAATGAAGGAAAAAGAAGAGCCCAAGGATACATCGGACATTGCCGTCAAGGATCCAGGAAGCAGCAACGCTACACTGGCTGAAGAGGATGTTAAAAAGGAGGACATGCAGATCTACTTCCAAAACCTGATGACCATCGACAGCCATATGAGGATATCGGATCTCCCGGACTACATCAACGAGGACACCGAAATAATAGAGCAGGAGAAGAGAAAATGCTGGAGGAGTCTCCTGTCCAGCGTTAGTCGCATCACCTCCTTTTCCAATGCCTCAAGGTAGGTCTAGAATTTTTATTAATATTAAATATTTAAATGTTTTTATTAAAGCATCCATTCATCGAAGAAATCCAACACCCCACGCATCCTAATGGCCGCCATTCTTCAGGAAACCGCCAAGCAACAGTACAAACGGAAAATTACCCTTCTGAAGGAGAACTACTCCTATCGCATGGGTCTGATTAAGCAACTAAAACACGATATTAAAACTAGTTTTAAGAGCGAGGCCCAGCAGCTCTACTACAACTACCACCTCACCAAAAACAACAATCAGTACAAACCGAACCTAGGCACTTTAAACAAGTCACACTCCAAAATGAGACTATGAACGGACGAAGGCATCGGTCGGTCTGTCCATCTTGGTGGTTTAAGCCTCGACGAGAGTCCTTCGGGGTCAGCTGGAAGGAGGAACTGCCGACGAATGAGGGACATTGCACTAGATGGCTCGAATTTAATATGTGCATTTGTTACTCTGCATTTTGGGCCACTACTGCGATCCGGCGCTTGGAAATAAAACTAAAACCAAATTAAAACCTCTCGCAGCAAAGACAATGAGAATTGACCCAAATACCTGGCCGGACCCGGCCCTTTTGTTATTCTCCTTTGGCATTGTAATTTATGGACTGGCCGCGAATGGCGTGGGTCCTCTTTACATTTTTTTTTTTTGGGTCACAGCTGCGGGGGAAACTGGGTCAGCTAAGTGAACAAAAGGAGGTTTATTGTTCTCAAGGCTTTAAAATTTAAATCTGGCTTTAGGTAAGGGGAGTTATGGCTTGAAATCCTTTATCTTATTCATAGAAATACTAGTCTAGTTTGAGGCTAGAAAATAACTTAAAGTTTTCCAAGTCTCCTCTATTGATTTCCCAGTTATGACCAACTTTAAACTTTAAACCATATCGCCGGAGTTGTAAGTGGAAATAGCTCCCCGGGCGGCTAATCCGTTCAAAGCTGCCAAAAATCTCCAACAGGGCTCGACGCTTTCGCTCGCAGTGACGCACAAAAAGTTGATGGCCCAGAGTCCGGATGGACGAACACTTGTGGCAGGCGCTTAGCAACCGACAGACAAAGCTGCAAGCCTAATCCCCCCACTCCCCGGCCTTGGGCAACCCCCGGGGCGGCTTACAACAAAGCGAAATGGTAAATAAAGGCCCGAAAGCATTGACAGCGGGCGTTGAAATGGAAATCAAAATCCGAGTCCCAAAATCAAAGTAAATCAATGCGGGGCTAAAGCTTCCTCCCGTTCCCAAAATGAGCACAAAAAAAAATGCTGATGAAAATTGAAAATTTACTTTGGCATCATCGCTCCGACAATGAAATATGTCAATTTCAATTATGCTGGAGAGCTGTAGCCTGGCACTTGCCCCGCCGCGGGCGGAAATCGTACTCGAAATCGAATCCTATTTCGAATTGATTTCAACATTTCAACAAATGTGTCAATTTCCCCGGAAAGCTCTATTGGCAACGCCTTGAATCGGAGGGAGTGGCTGTCAGCCCGGTAATTATAGTTGTTATAGCCGCGATTTTGCTGACAGTTGGCCATCGCCCGAGGCTGAGACTCTGCAACAGCCAATTTGCCATTTAAATTTATTTGTAGTTCCACATACGACACTTTAAAGACTTAAGAACATAATGCCATTTGCATAAATCATAAACATAAATCAACATTTGCAGGGAAAAGACTTGTACGCTCTGCCTTGGCAAACATCTTTTGATGGGTTTTTAATTGAATGACATCTAATCCAAAGGCAGAAACACTCTTCACCGGAAACATAACTAGCATGTGTGTAACTTTCCACAAATCATCGAGGAAAACTTTGGCGCGAAACTCCTCATCAACTTCTCGGGGCAACCGTGAGATTTCCTGCAATATAAACTTGTATGAGTCCCGACTCCAGGCCCTTATCAATGGGAACTATCAAAGGGCCATAAAAGTTTCGTTCAACACTTTGCAGACAGGAAATATGACAGGCATCGGAACAATACTCGTAAAACGAGCAGACTACAGACTACACTCCATGCCGGTCATTTGCCAACTCCAACTGACTAACTGACCATCGTTGGCAGGCGATTGATTTGCCAGGCCGACAGTGGGGTGCGGGTCTGGGTTTGAAATTGAACTTGAAAAGTGCATAGGGAGACAGCCAACATTGCAATGACAATGACGAGGCTCACACGATTACACAAAAGCCAAGCAACAGCAGCAA